CCAGCCACATCGGGAAAAAGCAGCACCGTGTCCCCAAGCCATGTACCGTGGCCGAGGCGGCCAGGCTTCCCCAAAGGCTCTGGAGCTCCAGCCTGGCTAATTGGGCTGCTTCCAGATGGCCTGTTTCCGGGGGTAATCCATCCAATTTCTGCAAGGAAACTTGACAGGGAAGCAAGCTGGATAATCACGATTTACTGGGTGGAAAATCAGATAAAGGAGGTTTGGGGAGGTAAAGGACATCATGCAACTGATTCAGGGAAATAGAGTCAATTGATTTAATCTGAGAAGTGACTTCTCTGAAAATTTCTTCAGCTTTCCTTTGGCTAAAGGCAGCCATGGGAATGAGCGTCACCTCCTCAGTCCAGTAAGGGATAACGGCGTCAGCAGGGTCTGAGCCATGTTCTGCAGGTGCTGGATAAGGTCCCACGTGGGAGTGCAACCCCGTGCTCAGGCACGGGAACTTCGACGCGCACTAAACCCACGCACGAACGCAAGGACTTTCTCAACGTGCTCCCTGGTCCATCCGGAAAGGTGCTGAGCCCATTGGTGCTGCAGAAGGGCACATGGTAAGCATGTAGCTTTGCCCACCAGGGGTGCTGGTACCTTGTGAGCGGCCAGGGAAAGCCAGGCTGTGCCCCCTCCTCATCACGTTGAGGCTGTACAGAGGGGCCAGGGGGAGCCAGCCCTGGCCACCTGTAACGGCTCCCTTCTCTGCCACCTGCAGGTACACCAAGATGAAGACAGCCACCAACATCTACATCTTCAACCTGGCCTTGGCAGATGCGCTGGCCACCAGCACGCTGCCCTTCCAGAGTGCCAAGTACCTGATGGAGACCTGGCCTTTTGGGGAGCTGCTCTGCAAAGTTGTGCTCTCCATTGACTACTACAACATGTTCACCAGTATCTTCACCCTCACCATGATGAGTGTGGACCGCTACGTGGCTGTGTGCCACCCGGTGAAGGCCCTGGACTTCCGCACACCAGCCAAGGCCAAGATCATCAATGTCTGCATCTGGGTGCTCTCCTCCCTCATTGGGGTGCCCATCATGGCCATGGCAGTCACCAAGTCAAAAGGCAAGTGGCTTCTGGGGAAAGGTCCCCTCCTGTCCCGTCTGTCCATCCTTGGGCAAACCAAAGCCACCTGGTCCGGTAGCAGGTTTGAGCTCAGTGATGGGCATCCCTCCACGGGACCATGGGCATGCCCTGCCCTGAAAAACCATCATGGTGTTATTTGCCATCTTGGCTGCAGAGGTTGGAAACTGTCCCGGAAATTGTCCTTCCCCCTTCCCCATCTCCAGACCAACCAGTGCCTCTCCCCAACTCCTGGGGTACAAATCAGGTGCTCAAAACCATTCCCAATGGTGTTGCAAAGTCCCAAAGCTCTGGGTGTCTTGAGGGAGTGGACAGGTTTCAGTGTAAGGTGACACAGGGACGTGTCCACCAAGGGGTTGGGAGGAGACAGCGTGAGGATGGCCCAGGAGGTGCTGCAGGGAACAAATCCCTGGGTCCCTGCACCCACTACATCCCATGGGCACCCTGAGGGTAGGGGTTTGTTTGCCTGAAGCTCCCAGGGAATGTCTGCAAAGAGCTGGTGGGTGGGCATGGATCTCCTTGTGTTTTTAACAAGAGTGGACATGTCCAGCTATGACCACGCAGAAAGCAGAGAGTATTCACAGCAGACACTCCTCCCACTCCCTCTTTGATGCTCCTCTCTCCTGCAGACGGGACGGTGCTGTGCACGCTCCAGTTTCCCGATCCTCCCATCTACTGGGACACCGTGACCAAGATCTGTGTCTTCATCTTCGCCTTCATGGTCCCCATCTTGGTCATCACCATCTGCTACGGGCTGATGATCCTTCGCCTGAAGAGTGTCCGCCTCCTCTCAGGCTCCAAGGAGAAAGACCGCAACCTGCGGCGCATCACGCGCATGGTGCTGGTGGTGGTGGCAGCCTTCATCATCTGTTGGACGCCCATCCACATCTTCGTCATCGTCTGGACGCTGGTAGACATAGATAAGAAGAACCCCTACGTGGTGGCCAGCCTGCATTTCTGCATCGCCCTGGGTTATACCAACAGCAGCCTCAACCCCGTCCTTTACGCTTTCCTGGATGAAAACTTCAAGAGGTGTTTCCGAGAGTTTTGCCTGCCTTTCCAAGCCCGCGTGGACCAGAACAGCTTCTCCCGTGCCAGGAACACCATGCGGGAGCGCGTCTCCACCTGCCCCCCTTCTGAAGCCCGCAACAAACCGGCATGACTAGACGCGGGCAGCCTCCAGCGAGGCTGCCGGGGCCACGGAGGGGACGACCTGCGCTCGGAAGTGACCCAGGTCACCACCACGGAGCTCTAGCAGAGCGGTGGCCTGGGCCTTGTTTCGTTCAGACTGAAAGTGAGTGGCTGCAAAGACTTTTTTTCATCCTGGAGAACCCCGGATGGGGGAATGGGGACTCACCAAGCGATGTAGGGAGAGGACCGGCATGAGAGGTGACCCGGGCAATGCTGCTCTGCTGCTGGGCCCACTGCAGCCGGGGGCAGCCGGTAGCCCCATACACCCAACAAGGGCTGTCACCTCCAACACGTGATTGCTGGCAAAGCCCAAGTGTCCTGGGACACCGTGATTGCCATGACCACATGCTTCTTGTCCTGCATGGACCAAGACGGCTTCATGGCCAGAGGCAAGAGGGGAAACGCTCCCGTGGCAGAAGGAGACTGTGCCGGGAGGTGATGCCATGTCATGGGGCCTCCATCCCCCTCTGAACTGAGGCCAAAAAACGTCTGGAGATGGGAAGAGAAAACGATGCCGCTTCAGAGAGAGCGTCATCAAAGAGCTCCAGATCCATAGGAAAAATTTTACTGGAGTCCTTCAAAGCGGGACTGGCCCCGGAGGACAGCTCGCTGCCGTTAATGTCACTATTGTATTATGTAGAGACCTCTGGCTGCAGCCGGAGCAGCCCCAGACACCGACGTGGTGCTGGAATATGGATATGGCCAGGGGATGGGTGGGGGCACGGAGCAGGGCACACCCCTTGCATCCATGTGCTGATGCCAAGTTCTCCAGCATCCACGTGACGGGGAACCACTCCTCACCCGTCTGCCTCCGAAGACATTAAGCCCGAGAAAGCTCTCATTCAAGGAGCAATTTGCGGGGACTTGAGGAGTTTCCCGCAGTGCTAAAGCGATCAGGGTGGACTAATGGGGGGTGCTGCCAGGGCTCTCCCTCCCCAGCCCGCTGGGTGATGGGTGAGCATCAGCGCTGCCCGGATCTCCTCTAGCAAAGAGGATGAGGATGGTTGAGTTGCTTTTTTTCGTAGAAGATGGGGAGAACATGACTGTCATTTCGTAATTCCCCAAGCAGGGACAGAGGTCACGCAAGCGCTGAGAAAGGACCTGCAGCCTGTAAGACGCAGGGATTTGGGGGTTTCATGCTCAGCACCCATCCAGACGGAGCAGCCGTCCCTCCCAAGAGGCAGCTAAGGCAGCGCATCCTCCAGGAGCCACCATCCAGGGACCCCTGGAGCACGTTATCTGCCACTAAATGATGACCGATGGGTCCTCCCGGCGCTCGGCTCCCTGAATTCCCACCACAGCCCCGCGCCGGCTGCGAGCAGCATCCAGGAGCCACGACTTTCCCTTCCTCTCACCTTCCCACCGCCACGGCTGCAGCTGGGAGGTCAACCAGGCCGAGGAGGAGGAGGCTCGGAGGGAGCGGTAATAGCATTTAGTGGACAAATTGATGCAGCTGGAGGAAGCAGGCGAGTGCCCGGGTGCACCTGGGGCTCGTGGGCTGGATGGAGAGCCTGGGTTGCGTCTCTGGTTTTCCCAGTTGCATCAATTTAGCCTAATAAGGGCCATTACCTCTCCTCACCAGCCCTACCTTTCTCCAGAGCTTGTGGAAATTGCAGCCTCCCCATTAGGAAGGCAGAGCCGAGGAGGCAGCCAAAGCCAATTTCTGTTTCAAAGGAAACAAATAGGGTGAAATTGCCCGTTCGGATCTCAAATGCGTTGTCGGCGAAGCGTGCGAGTGATCCTCCTCGGCTGCCCATGCTGTGTCTCCCCCAGCCCGAACAAAAGCCTCTTGCTCAGTGTTGTGTCAGCCCAGACGTCTCCAGCTCCCACCCAAGGCTCCTCGGGACCCCTTTGCAGGCATGGATGGAGTCCTGGGCCACCGCCACAAACCACGCTTGGTCTCCTCATCCCCTGCTGCCGCAAGCCAGGCTGCTCGTGGAGCATTGGGTGCAGGAATCATAGAATCACAGACTGGTTTGGGTTGGAAGGGACCTTCAAGATCATCCAGTTCCAACCCCCCTGCCATGGGCAGGGACACCCTCCACTACACCAGGTTGCTCAAAGCCTCATCCAACCTGGCCTTGAACACTTCCAGGGATGGGGCAGCCACAGCTTCTCTGGGCAACCTGGTCCAGTGCCTCACCACCCTCAGAGGGAAGAATTTCTTCCTTAGATCCCATCGAAATCTCCCCTCTTTCAGTTTAAAGCCATTGCCCTGTGTCCTGTCACTCCATACCCTTGTCCAAAGCCCCTCTCCAGCTTTCCTGTAGCCCCTTTAGGCACTGGAAAGCTGCAATAAGATCACCCCGAAGCCTTCTCTTCTCCAGGCTGAACAGCCCCAACTCTCTCAGCCCGTCTCCACAGCAGAGGTGCTCCAGCCCTCGCGTCATCTCTGTGCCCTCCTCTGGACTCGCTCCAAAAGCTCCATGTCCTTCTGGTGTTGGGGACCCCAGAGCTGAAGGCAGCACTGCAGGGGGGTGAGCAGGATCGGCTCTAGAGCAGGAACTGGGGGAAACCCCCGAGGTTGCCAGGATGCTGAGCTTCAGCCTCGTGAGAAGAGAGATGAAGTTGTCCAGGAGTTGGAGACCACCCTTCAGCTTCCTCTACCTACCCTGGGAGCAAAACCCTCAGCAGCGTGTGATGGGGAAGGGTCTTGGTTTGGAGCTGGTTCATGGCGAGGTCCCGGCAGGGGTGGGATGTCCCACGCTGCGGATCAGGACATGTTGGGTTTCATGTGAACCCCATCACACATGGATGGGGCATCTCCGCCCCAGCCCAGCCCTTCCAAGGACACGCCATCTTGTCGGGGCGGACTGAGCCATGA